CTTCCTCTGTCTATCAGTGTGCCAGGCATCACAGGCCCAATCAGCTTCTGCCTCATACACAAGTCTTTTGGCCAAGCCCCACTTAGCTCCTAATGAATGTTAGCTGTGTAGAAAAGATAGGGATGCACATCTATTCTTGTTACATTAACAGGAACATTAAGAAATTATTAAGAAAGGGATAGAAAATAAGACACAGAATATCTTACTGCCCCTGTATAAAACTATGGTACGCCTACATCTTGAATACTGTGTACAGATGTGGTCTCCTCACCTCAAAAAAGATATTTTGGCCTTGGAAAGGGTTCAGAAAAGGGCAACTAAAATGATTAGGGGTTTGGAACGGGTCCCATATGAGGAGAGGTTAAAGCGACTGGGACTTTTCAGTTTAGAAAAGAGGAGACTGAGGAGGGATATGATAGAGGTCTATAAAATCATGAGTGGTGTGGAGAGGGCCGATAAAGAAAAGTTAATTATTAGTTCCCTAAATAGAAGAACTAGAGGACACCAAATGAAATTAATAGGTAGCAGGTTTTAAACTAATAAAAGAAAGTTCTTCTTCACACAGCGTGTAGTCAACCTGTGGAACTCCTTGCCAGAGGAGGCTGTGAAGGCTAGGACTATAATAGAGTTTAAAGAGAAGCAAGATAATTTCATGGAGGTTAGGTCCATAAAAGGCTATTAGCCAGGGGATAAAATGGTGTCCTTGGCCTCTGTTTGTCAGAGGCTGGAGAGGGATGGCAGGAGACAAATCGCTTGATCATTGTCTTCGGTCCACCCTCTCTGGGGCGCCTGGTGCTGGCCACTGTCGGTAGACAGGATACTGGGCTAGATGGACCTTTGGTCTAACCCAGTACGGCCGTTCTTATGTTCTTATGTTCTTATTTTATCGCTGCTGTCTGGTTTAAAAAGTCCCTTTCCAAAACCTAAATAGAATGCAAAAATTCCATGTAGCTGCCCATGTATCTATATATCTATTAACATAGCCACTTGGAAATATTGCTGAATGTTGGCTGAATTATTTTCCATATGCTAAGGAAATATTTGACTTCAGAATAAAAAAAATCACAGATCTACCTAACCGTATAGAACAGAATAGAAGCCAAGGGATCATTTGCCATAATTTTTTTAATGTAGTTGTTATAGAACTAATCAGCTCTAAACCACTCATGAATATGACATTGTAATTTAACATTAGACATTTTCTTTTTATGGCTACATGTAAATTAAATAGTGCCTTTCCAAGAATGATTAGAACAAAATGTATTGCTACATGAAGAATAGCTCCCAAAGTTCAGCATCATAATGCAAAGTTATGGAGTAAAGTACTTAAAACTTAGGCGCTGGTTGTGCAAGTTCATACACACATGCTTAATTTTATTCATGGAAGCAGCCCTATTTGTTTCAGAAATGTAGATCGTGTGCATAAATTAAACATGAGTATATTTGTAGGACCAAATTCTATTGGAGTGAGGGGAGGATGTCAAAATAAGGATCAGTGTTTAAAAAAGAAAAAGTGGACTAAAGAGTTAGAATTGTGAATACAAAATGTTGGTATTTTAAAATGTGACCTTATCATTTTGTGCTTTATACACCTAAGAAATAGGAAAAATAAAGTATATAAAGAATTTATTGGCTGCATAGATAGCATAAGCTACAGTTAATGTTGTCTAGTACTTTCCATCATAACCTCCTGCTTTTAGTTGCTTATAACTTTGCCAAACCTAAACAATTTAGACTGAAATTTTTCCATCTGGGTATCTACCTAAGGCTGCCTTTTTCTAGGGAAAGCTTCATCTAACTTTAGCAACAAAATTTTGTGCAGATTCTGTCACAAGACACTTTTATATTTACCAGAAGTTCAACTCCAGAGGTCAGTCTTTTGGCATTTGATTTAACAGGTCTAATATAGACTTGTAAATTGAACGCTGAGGACACCTCCCACCAGTCTGTGGTACTCCTCCTTTTTTGAGGAGTAAGGGAAGCCAAAGAGAGTGTTTGCTTCCATTGGTCTCCCACAGTGTGGATGCCATCAAGGCTCAGCTTAAGGTAAGCTAACAGTATTCCATGGGCTTTTTTCCCTCAGCATGCATGAAAATATTCAATCTTGGGAAGACATGGTATGTTGTTATTTATGTGTGTATGTAGCCGGACCGGATGCCAAAAATCCAGGCAGATAATCTGGCAAGAAATCAGGGAAGTTCTTAAACCTGCCTGACAGGCCAGATTCCATTGGAAGCATCAGAACCCTGCCTGATAGCCAGTAGAATATTTGGTGAAATTGACATATTCTTGCAGAAAGTCGACAAATTGGCATTTTCCAATGCAAAAACAAACATGTTATATTGGAAAATTTCTGACCTGCTCTAAGCAGGAGCCAATGATTCCTGAGCTCTGGCCCTGTTCTAACATCTTTGTGGCTTTGGGCAGCTCTTTACAGTTTTTCCCTCTAAAAAAAAATGGTGATGTTAACACCCAGAGGGGTGTGCTGACCATTAATTAATTCATGTTTGTAAAGGTTGAAGGTGCTGAAAATTATTAATGTATTGGTCTCAGATCAAATGGTAGAAATTGCTTATTCAAAGTGTGAGAGAGTTTAGCAACCTTTTGTGACATAGGACTTGCTTGTCTTTGTAGTGAAAGACTTGCTATGTATCTGTGGCATAGGACCAGCTAACAGCAACCTGGCAAAGTCTGACGGCATCCCGCTTCTAAAAACCTGGCATGTGGCATGTATTTGTACAGCACCTAATACATTAGGGTCCTGGTCCATGATTAGAACTCCTAAACACTGTCATTAATGGGTGTGTGTAACACTGAGAAGCAGAATTGAACCTGGGATCTCTGGAGTTTAGTACATGAGCCTCTACCACATGAGCTAAAAAGCCAGGTGGCTTTTAGCTAAGGTTGTAGAAAAGATTCATTATTCTCTATGGGTATGTCTACACTACCCCGCTAGTTCGAACTAGGAGGGTAATGTAGGCATACTGCACTTGCAAATGAAGCCCGGGATTTGAATTTCCCGGGCTTCATTTGCAAGTGCAGTATGCCTATACCCCGCTAGTTCGAACTAGCGGGGTAGTGTAGACATACCCTCAGTAAGTGGCTTCAGTGCCACGACATGGACACTGCACCACACTTGAAAGGTGTGTGGATTACGTGTGTGTGTGTGCATTTGCAAAATAATATATATAATACACACTGTCTATATTTCAGAAATATGCCTTAACTTGTTGTAATCTGTATTTGGTTTGTAACCTTTTGCTGAAGTAAATATGGCATGATGAGGTGTTGACAAGAGAAATCGCATAAGAACTAACCTGTGTCAGGCACCAGTGCCTCATTGTGCTGTGATTCTGTCAGCTTTTTTCAGCTAAATAGGGTCAAGCTGTGCCAACACATAGATGTAAGGCCTCTAATGTAAGAGATACCCAAGTGCCCCTGGTCATTACTTCACTAATGTACCAGCATAGCAACAGGCTGCATCATGCTCCATAAGGTGCTCTCTTTTGCATGAGAAGTGGAACCAAGCCACTGATTGCTCATGGCATTGAAGACTGCAAGGCACTTTTGATGAGAGTAGAAGTGTCAATCCTGGTGGTTTTGGACAAATTACATTTTGGGTAACAAAAAACAAATAATATATAATAGCACCTTAAAGACTAACAAAACATGTAGATGATATCATGAGCTTTCGTGGGCACAACCCACTTCTTCAGATGACTGGAGTATTAAAAGTCTGGATCCAACCAAACAATGGAGGTGCTAGTTGTTCTTATCAGCCTCTTCTAACTACTTGCAACATCTATCACTGTCTCTCTCTCTCCCCCCCCCTTCTTTTTTTCTCTCTCTTTTTTCCCCTCTTCCTCTCCCCTTCCCTTATTTATTCTTGGATCCGGACTTCTAATATTCCAATCATCTGACGAGGTGGGTTGCGCCAACAAAAGCTCATAATATCATCTACATGTTTTGTTAGTCTATAAGGTGCTACTAGTCTATTTATTGTTTTGTAAGTTTTTCATGTTACAGACTAACTTGGCTACCCCTCTGAAGCTTTTGGGTAACTACAGTAACTATGCCAACCTAAATTCTTGCCTCCTGAGTTATGGTATTTTCCTTCACTTCATGGTCTAAACTCCTGTCTGCTGTTATACAGCTGCTGCACTCCATCTCAGTTACGTTTGCTTGTGTCACAGGGCTGGTATGGTGTAATGAATATTAATGAATGAATAATATTTAGCACCTTCATAAAAGTATATTATGATGCTGTTATGAAAGATACTACAGAACTGCACAATAGTGCTTGTACCTTTTTATTTCCAACAGTATCCAGGATTCTGGAGTGCTCTTGGCTGTAGCACATTCTACAGTGGGAAGAGGAGCATTCTAATTTCCTTTGTAATTAAAATATTACGTTGTGGGGTTGAGTTTTCTGTGTGCAAAGGAAAATTTGAATAAGCCAAGGAAATCTGACCCAAATCTAAGGCTAGCAACTGGTAGAATTTTAAAATGCTCATTGGAGAGTACAGTAGAATCTCACTGATGCGATGAACAGGTAGGGTACATTTACACTTGCCCCCTACTTCAAAGTAGGGAGGCAAATGAAGGCGACCAAAGTTGCAAATCAAGGGCGGGATTTAGCTATCCCATGCTTGATTAGCATAGTCACGTCCGGTCGCCATGTTGGAAATTGACTAGCCTGAATTAACTTGCTGCGTGTAGACACGGTACTCCGAGGGAAAACCCCATATTTCAAATTAACTCATTGCAGGAGGAGTACAGTTAATTCGAAGTACGGGGTTTTCCCTTGGAGTACCGTGTCTACATGTGGCGAGTTAATTCGGGCTAGTCAATTTCCAACATGGCGACCGGACGTGACTATGCTAATCAAGCATGGGATAGCTAAATCCCGCCCTTGATTTGCAACTTTGGTCGCCTTCATTTGCCTCCCTACTTCGAAGTAGGGGGCAAGTGTAGACATACCCATAGGTTGCTGCTGTGTGGGCCATTCCAACAGCCGTATGTGCATACTTGGATTGCATATCTGTGATTCAAAAGAGTTTAGGAAAAGTTAAGTCGTTTTGAAAATGCAGCAAAGTGGGAGTTAAATCTGAGAAGTTTTAAAATATTTATCAAAATAATAGTTCTTGTTCTGCTGTTTCTGTTGACCAATACTCTGTATTGTTTCTCTCTTGTTTCCTTTGTATTAAAAGTGCTAATAATTATCATGAGATTTACTAGCTTATCAGAGACTATCTATGGGCTTGCATTTTTTAGCTCTTGGTATTGACAGTTCCAGTGCCCTGATGTTATCAGTCCATTCATGCTCCCGGGGTGCCACCAGAAGAGAGGGCTGCTTTATTTGCTCCAAAAACACGATTAGCTTCCAGCTTACCAGTCCTCCTAGCACAGCTCAAGTATTCACCTTGATCCTCTTAAGTGATAAGAGGAATGACAAATCCTCAACTAATTCTTATTGACTTTGTTGTTATTACAGGACATAAATGCTTCAATGACAAACAGCACAGTGACAAGCAAACCACCTGTGACCCTGCGTCTTGTAGTCCCTGCAAGTCAGTGTGGATCCCTTATAGGAAAAGGGGGCTCCAAAATCAAAGAAATTAGGGAGGTAAGTTCTTAGACTCCAGGTGGGGTGCTGTTAGGTAACTTTAACTAAACATCCTAATACAGCTATTTAAAGAGTATGGTTTTCAGAGTTCTGCTACCAGGATTGGTTTATGGCATTGCTGCAAATATTTTGGGCATAGAATGCTCAGCTAAACCAGCTGTGAAAGGTGTCTGTAGACTCATGAAAGCTAAGGATCTGTAGCAGCATAACCAGTTTTAGAAGATATTTCTTTCCATGTGGCAATCCTTCAAAAAGTAACCCCAGTCTGTAAGATCTTTGTTGCACAGCTGGCATTCGGATGTACTTTTGAAAAGAGGGGAAAAAAACAAGATGCCATGTAGCAAAGGAACCATTTAACACAGAATTGTTTCTTCACTTTAAAAAAAATCCAGAAATACTACAGATAATCTAGATCTGAAGCATTGCTAACCCTTTTCAAATCTGAACATTTCAGTTACAGTCTTTATAGCCAGAAAAGGCCAACTAGCTTAAAGGTACATTGTCCTGGTTAGCAGGCATAACCTTTGATTTACATTGTTTTGTCAAATTGGTTTTCTAATTTTATATTCCATGATCCCTGTACTACTCTCCTCCCTCCAATTTTATGGCTTCAGAAGTGGCCTAAAGTCACATATACTGATCCCAAGAAACTCATATAGATTTTCTAAATTCAAGCTATTCCTTGGAATATCCATCCACTCCATCCCTGAATCCATTGAGGCAGCATCCTGACTGAAGCAGCCTGTGACAGGCTTATTGTTGTTTTGATTTTGTTTTAAAGACCTTTCCTGGACTTTGCTTTTGAAGCTGCAGGTTATTGGCGGGGGGCATGGAACTTAATGGGAGAGAAACACTGCAAGAAGATACTTATGGAAATATGTTCCCCTTTACACCTTCCAACCCTTATCTGGATGTCAGTGAAAGAAGGTGCAATCTGGTGCAAGCTCAGAAATGAAGTTTTAGCAAAAATGTTATTGATAATTATATCTTATGATCTATCCAATAATGAGAAGTGCTTTTTAACTTCTTAGCATTCACACTGCAGAGCTAAGCAAAATGGGTACAAGTTTATGTTTGTTTTTTTGTTTGTTTAGATAGATTTCAACCACAATAAAAATGCTCATAGAAAAATACTAATCACCTGAACAATTATTAAATCTACAGCAACGTAAAAATGATCACTCTTCAACATAAAGTACTCATGTACAGGAAATGCATCACACACTCATGCCTAACTCACAAATACATCTTGAATGTTCCTTTAGATTAAATCTTATCAGGTAGATAGCCCTCATACAGTACTTGAATTGATTTTTTTATATTAAACTTTCCTCTGGCAATAAAATGCCAACATATTTTATATCAATTACAAATTTTATAAATTTTACTACATCAACAAAAGGCATAGTATGCTAACAAATCTTTTGCAAAATTTTTTGAAAATCAGTAAAATAAACTATCAGATATATTATCGGGGGTATTTTGTACCTATTTTGTAAAAAAAAAAAAAACTGAAAAATGTAATTTTCATCCTCTGGAAAATTTCAAAGTTTCTACATTTATTTTTGTCCTGAAATGGGGACAAAGTGTAGCAATATGGAATACTTTCACAAAAGTTCCAAAAGCTTCAATTTAGATAAATTACAACAAAAGCTTTTGATATTTTTTATCAAAATGTTGATTTGAAATGAATGTTTTGTTTTGCATTTTGCTATCAAAAATGTCATTGAAGTGATCACTTTCTTACCAAAGGTTTTGATGAATTTGGGTATACTTGAGAAATTTCTGGGATTGAAAAACTGTGAGTAGCTCTAGTTCTGAATATGTTTAATTAGATTATTGTAACAATACTTAGAGAAGTGGTCAGGGTAGAAAGAGCAGTCAGTTGCCAAAATTCCATGGCTCTTCAGTTTTCCCCTAAATTCCTTCATTTGTACCCAGACTTCATTATTGCCCAAATTGTGCAGCCACAGATGATTCTGGGGATGATTCTCATTTCCAGGGAAAATCAGTGCTTTTGGCCCACTATTTTAAGGGCCTCTCCTCTCCTGGATGCACATCTTGTTTCTCTTCATGTTCTTGCCAAGTGTAGCTGTATGTGTGAATCACAGAGAAAACATACTTTTAATACATTGTAGATAAAATCCCCAAATTAATTGTCATCTTTAAAATTCCTAGAAAGATTTTTGGTAAAAATGCCATTTGAAGGTAACATTGTGCTGTCTAAGGTCTGCAAATGAGATTTAGTAGAAAAATGGGGGGAAAGACAGAGAGGAGAGTCCTAGAAATTTTTGAATTTTCCTTCAAGAAATAGAAAGTTGAAAACCAACATTCTTGAGGGTTTTTTGTTTTTAATGAAAATCTGAATTTTTGTTTGAGAGAGAGAAACAGACACTTTCTGTGAAGATTTTCATTTAGCTGGAAAGCGCTGGTGACAACATTTAGGAGGAGAAGTGCTTCTCATTGGAAAACATTACATTGGTTTACAAAGCCACACTTTTGGATGGAATTCAGTATGTTGTTTTGACTTTTAAAGCCCTAATTGGTTTGGATCTGGGTGAGCTGTGAGTCTGCCTTTCTTCTAGTTCCATTTTACTGCAATTGCAGCCAACGGAGGCAATCAAATTGGGCATCTCTCATTATAGAAAAGTATGCAAGCAGCAGGGTGTTTTCTCTGAGGGCTCCTTACTTCTGGAACATGCTTCCTTCTGATTCTCCAGCTGATTAACTTTCCATTTGTACTGCAAGGCTCATGAGTTTTTTCTCATGCATGAGAGGTAGGGGGAGCTTGTTAATTTAACTGAAGTCTAAGTGTATTGTGTGGTTGGAATGAACTATGATCAGCTGTGGATTTTAGTGGCTGTATATGATTGTTGATTGTTGTGAAGTTTTAAATATTCCGGAGATGCAAAACTTAAAATGGTGCTCCTAGGATGTATGTTTTAAAATCTAAAATCAATCAAGCTATTGAGAGTGGAAGACTCTAATGATTACCATGATGGGTAAACTCCAGACATACTTGCCTTTGGTTTAATGCCACTAAGTGAAAGAATGCTGTTTGGCCAATAGGTTCTTCTATTAGTTCTAAAGAACAGTGTGAACTCCCTCTCCTTTTCTGTAAACCTAAAGAGAACAGCAGTTTGTCTCTCAGTTTCACACATGCCGTTCCACAACAGCCAGTGAACTGCAAAGATTATTTTGAGTGACTGAATGGCACACAGGGAACTGAGAGCAGTAGTTAGCCCAGTGGGTTTTGTACTAAGCCAGCTGTTACTCTAAAAACTTTGTTATAAATGGTCGCTACTGCCCAGATGAAAAAGGATCATCAGTCCTCTCAAGATGCATTCTAATCTCATCATCATGTAATATATTGAGCAACAGCAATATGATAGATGTTATATTTTTTGCTCAGTTGCGTACCCAGCAGCAACATGTAGTCTGCCTCAGTATTTTAAAGTATGATTTTAAAAAAAACCCACAGTGGCATGACAGATTGATCAAATTATGGTGACATTCCAAAGCATATTAAAGGACCCATAATTGATATTCTGGGTTTAAACAGCACTAGTGAACAGAAGATGTAATCAGTAATTTAATCAGTCTCTGGAAAAAAGACTAAGATGTGTTGTGCATGGCCAACAGCAAACTAAATTAACTCCTTACTGACTGACACAAAATCAGTGCAAGGCAAAATCGTTTGTATCCACATATCAGGATCAGAAATAGGTTATGTGTATAATGTATGAAAATAGTAATTCAATAGAATAGGCTTTTGTTGTGTTTTTTTTCCATCAATTGAAAAAGGTTTGCAGAATTGTTGCTGGATTATACCAGGGATGATTTTGGCCTCAAGTTTTGGTTTTGTTTTGTTCTGTTGTTTTACTAAGAACCAGTAGTGTCAAGATCAAGGAGGAGAAAAAAGCTGGCTCATTATATGGTTAGGTGCATTACTGAACTAGAAGCTGATGATGTGCATATGTTTAATCAACACTAATAATCATTTAGAAGTGCTCCCGTATTGCTCTGCTTTATGATGAGATATTCCAGAGTATAAAGCAGACCCAAATTTCATTCAGTAAAATGATCACAGTCATCAATTCATTAAGGAATCACCCATCCATGACTAGAATTAATTTGGGAAGCTGAAGCTCTTCAGACATCAGCAATTATTTTTTAATGATTGTCATAATGATTCTGAACACCCTTAGTTTTCATATTTTTCCATTGTATCTACAGCAATCTCTGTTTCAGCAAGTTCGGGAGATTAACTATGAGGTTAAAATCCCAGTTTGTTTATTTAACAACCATTGATAATTACACTTTCTACCCTTGAGAATACTTGCAAATATTATCTACATACACAAATCCACACTCCTGGCAGTTTTCCATGCTATATATGCAGCATAACACTAGCAAAAAACAGGGGTGTTTTAGATACAATGGTGCTTTTTCAGATTACTTTTTATTAGTGAACAAATGGTTTCTAATGTGCAGAGGCATTTTTATGGCACTAATGTTTGTTTTGTTGATTTTTTTTCTTAAGTCCACAGGGGCCCAGGTACAAGTAGCTGGGGATATGTTGCCAAATTCAACAGAACGTGCAGTAACTATATCTGGCACTCCGGATGCCATTATACAGTGTGTGAAACAAATATGTGTGGTCATGCTAGAGGTAAGAGAGCACTTAAAACATTGAGGTTTATACTGATAATGTTCAGAAATCATGTTCATTTCCTTCAAATCCCCTGCCACCCTCTTTAATCCCTGATTCTTTAAGATGCAAATCTTTCTCAACTCCCAGTGATTTCAAGACTTGTTGTCAGTACTCCTGGTGCTTAGAGTGCCCAGTGCCTCACAGATGAAGCCCTTAGAGGAGGGTCTATTTACAAACCTTTCAACATGGATTGTGATTTAAGGGTCAATAGTAGAAACTTTGGAAAAACACAAGCCCTGCCCTAAATCAGGATAAAAAGTAGAAATTGCAGAATTTTTCTTGAAACCGAATGCCCTGGAATATTTTATGCTGACCTTATTGAAATATTTGGTTTTGATAAAGTTGAAACATTTCAATAAGGTCATCACTTTGTTTATTTAAGGTCAAAATGTTTGTTATTTTGTTTGTTTGTTATTAATATAATACAATATAACTTTATCAAAACACAATGTTTTGACCTTATTGAAACCAAATGTAACAATAAGGTAGAGACAAAATATTTCAGCTTCACCTAGATCATTTATCTGACTATTTCTTTTTGAAAATTTTGACAAAATTAATAATTTTCCTCCAAAACATTTCAATTTTGCTGAATTAGAATTTTCCAATGGGAAAAACATTCTGTAAAAAAAAAAAAAAAGTGTTCCACTAGATCTAGTCAACTATACTGTGATGTTGGATGTCCAACAATTATTTTTTAATCACAATATAACAGGATGCATGGTGTCTCTGATACTATATTATAATAACTCCTATCTATTTCATAGCAATCACTCTACACCAAAAAAAGCATGCAACCTACTAAAAATCAATGTAATAAACTATTATTGTAGAGAACAAATTTTGCCTTGCAAATAAGAGACTATTGCTTCATTTGGCATTAGATGTGCATATTTGAAGGTAGCATCTTTTAATAAAAAACATGGCACAATGCTAAGAACATGCTGAAAACCAGTTTCAGTTTATTTGTCATGGAGAATGCGGTATAACTTTGTAAAGAATTAATAAACTGTTTAAAAATAAAAAATCCATCTCTCTGCATGTAGATTTTAGAACATATCTTAAAGGGTATAATTTTGAAAAGGTCTTAATCCTGTCCTTTTACTTCTCATCTTATTCTCACAGATTTGCAGATGCAAATAACTCCAGGAGCAAATTTGCATCTCCCATTACTAGTACATGCAATTGACGTCACCTAGTCACTTAACTACCTGCTTTGTGGATGCAGGCAGTTGTCTGATATCTAAATTATATTAATTACACCCATAGCTATTTGCAGACACAAACTAGGGCCAGACAGTCATTTTCTTCATATTGAGCCATTCTCCTTTGGAGATAAACAGTACAGAAAACAGAACTTGTTTCATTTTAGAGATAATAAAATAGCAATGCAAATCACCAGTATGAAGACTAGGAGAAAATGATCATTTTGCTTCTTCAAACATTAAAGTATGCATAAAAATATGTTGAATTTGTTAAATGTGTTTAATTTGGCAATGGTGACTGCTTTATTAAATTCAAATAATCAATCATAGAGAATTAGGATGTGGAAATGTTATTTATTGTTGGCGGGTCATTGCAGTAGTCCCTAGAGGTCAGGACTCTAGTGTGCCAGGCAATGTGAGGATAACATGAAGCCTGTTTTACAGGATTGTTCCCAGGGCTGTTTTGTCTGTCTTAGTCTCTATAAAGATAATTGTGTGTCAAGTATTTACTGGTCACATTTTTATCTGCTAACTCTCAGAGCAATTTTCTCCTCCTATCACTTAGAAGAGGGCCCATATTGCTCCCACTGAGGACAGTGGAAGTAGCCCACACTAGTCATGACTTCTCACTGAGGTCAGAGGAATGCTGGATGGGGCCCACGTAATCTATCACCTGCGTTCAATGAGAGTTGTGACTCTAGCGCAGACTGAACATTCTTATGTCACTTTTATGCCCGGACACTTCGCTTTGTGCCAGTGCACAAAGGGTTATCAGCTGAATGTATTGTTCTCTAGGAACAGGTTAGCTCCAAGAGAGAACGCTGGGGAGATTATCCCTTAAAATTGACATGACAAGTTTCAGAACTGGCATCTGACTTCTTTAGGTACCATGAAATTTAAATTCATTTCCTGATCCCTTGCATCTTTACCAAATTATTGTGGAAACAAAACAAAACCTGTCTGCATTTCCCTTTTGGCTATGCAGTCAGGACCTTACTTCATTCCCCTGACGTGAGTGTGAATATTGCCACTGAATTCACTGGGTGCAGGATCTAGGCCCATGGGAAAGAACACTGATGAATGGGACCAATGCAATTGCTGATTGAGGTGAAGAAAGTAAAAAATGATTTTATGTGAGCTATTTAATTCCACATCTTGATATGTTTTTGTTTTCAGTCCCCGCCCAAAGGTGCCACCATTCCCTATCGTCCCAAACCTGCCTCTGCACCTATCATTTTTGCAGGTGGCCAGGTAAGAGCAGACACCATTTTGGCTTCAGCTGGAAACCACACCGTCTTGGCCCAACCTCAGCCAGCGCCTGTTAGTTTTCACCTTTTACACGTTTTTGCCTGGTATAGTATGCATGTGTTTTATCCAATGTGGGTAGTTATTGCTTACAGAAAAGGAGAATTATGTTATAAACCTAAAATGAAAACAAGCCAATGGCTTCTTTTAACTTGTATTCTGCACTGTTACTGAATGACCCTCTGGTAGTTGTACCCTGTTCATTTCAGCGTCCCTGGCACTGTGTTGCTTTGACTTGTTTTTTCTCAGTGTATCTTCCACTAAATGGAACGTCCTAGTAATGTTGCCAAGAATATGTCACCTTCATGAGAAACTGCATCAGTGTTATTCTGGTTGCAACCTACCAGTACATTAGTGTATAACTTTGTAGTCGTCTACAATAAAAAGAAATGAAAATAAGACAATTGGTATTTTGCCAAGATTTAAAATTAGCTTCTGCAGTAAGGAATGGATTTGTTCTGTCATGAAGAGATGGGTATCCAAAATCAGAAATGTTTTAATGGAACAAACCTTTTTATTATTTTTTAAGTAACAGTTTCACTGGTTTTATGAACTAATTTACAGTATAGAGAAGCTTTCAACAAAACATATCATGTGATCACAAAGTACACAGCTTCTGCTCAAGCGATGCTCTCCAAATTGTCAATTTTTCATAATTATAATATCTCATAGGGCCCAATCATGAGCTCCTCAGTAAAAATTATTTTTACTATTACAGTGCTGCCTACAGACCAACAAAGAAAGGGTCTCCATTGTGGTAGGCACCATACAAACACAGAGTAGTAGCTTGTCCCTGTGCTGCAGAACTTCCACCTGTTCTACACAGCCTGATTTATACCATATCGAAAGCTTTGTTGTTGTTTCCTTTTTTCAATGGTAGAGGTATGGCTGTCCCCCCGCCCCCACACACACTCACACACTCCTTGCTGCTCCTTCAACCTATATGACTATGGGTCCCACCCACTTTTAGCCCTCCTATGGTGTTCCCATGTACAACGTATCTTTTTCTTCCCTTTTGATATGGCCTTGTAACAGGCACACAAAACTGGCACTTCACTGCAACTTGCCCTATCATCATCTAATGCGGAAAAGTACCCCTCTTGATAAACAGGCATCTCACCAATTCGCACAGCCTGCGGGCTATCTAGATGTGCCATGTCCATTAATACTGATGTGGTGCGTGAGCTGACATGCCAACAACTCACCTAGAACATTTCTCCACAATAGCTTATTTACAGCCAAATGAGAGGCTTTACACTTACTATATTCAGAGTGCTCTCCTGGAGGGTCAAATCACTCCCTCACTTGGACAGATGTGGAAACAGATGGCATCTGGAGCTGCCAGAGCACCCATTTGGAGCACCTCGGGGCTCTGTAGAGCTACTGATTGATAAGAAGGCTGAGGGCTATGTGTATCAAAGAGCAAGTCAGACCTTTGTGGATTAAAAGGTTTCCCAACATCATTGTTTGATAACACTAACCAGCCAGCTTACAAAAGTGTCAGTGTCTTTTATATTGGACTGTCCAGTAGACTGCTGACAAAGTCAACATTAGCTGAAGTATTTCATGGCAAAGTCTGGGAAAAAAATCTAACTAAATATTAATTCCTGCTCTCTATATCTACTGCTCTTACTTTGATTGGTTTCCTTCAGAGCAAGATACCTACTTTCTCAACTGACAGAATTTAAATTTCAGTTAAATTTTCCAGAATTTGATCTCTGTTAACTGTGAACATTCACAGAGCAAGTTACTCCAGACACATTTTAAGTTTATAGTGTGGTAATCTCCTCTAAAGCAGATGAATATGTACTCAGTGATTCACAGTAGCAATGCTGTAAATAGTGTTATTGGCAAAGATTGTCTCGGTGCATAACAAATTACTCAAATAAAAGAAGATTAACAGTAGGGACTAGAATGTTCTCAAGAGTTAGAAAATGACATTGAATTTTTGTCTAATCATATAGTACAACAGATTGCTGAATTCTAGAAAATATAGATGATTGAGATATTTTGTGTGTACCTTTCACCCTCTAGTCTCTTCCCTTATGCAAATTCTTCAGTAAATTATAGAAGTGGACTTGGGAGTGAGCAAAAAGAGGTTTTCTCATGGATTTTATTTCTAGAGTAAAAATATAGTATGTATATTAGGCGGTTAATTTTGTTTAAAAAAATCCTGTGTGCAAATGACTATTGAAAACAAAATAAAATGGTCTCAGCCGTGCGGAGCTGCTGGATGGACCTGTCGGCTCTTTATACGTTAAAAAAGCTAAAGCGCAGTAGGAGGGACCCAGCGCGAGCCGGGACAGCTGATTCCCGGCTTGTGCAGGGTTCCCCATGCTGCAGCTCTGCCTTTTAAATGTATAAAGAGCCAATAGGCTCTTTATACATTTAAAAGGCAGAACCCCAACAGCTCCCCACTGCAGCTCCACACTTATCGACTAATTTGACTAGTTGATGGAAAATCCATCAATGAGTCTGTTTGTTGATTAAACTACATTTAACATCCCTATTCCAAAGTATTTTGTGGTTAATCTGAAAGCTTTGGGGTTTGTTAGTTTTTAAAATTCAGTCTGCATATCAAGCTATCCCCCAAAAATCAAACTCCTACTATGACAAGATGGGATTTTGCATGGCTTTTGCTACTTTAAATGTTTTTTTTAATCCTCTGTGCTTTTTTTCAATTTTGTATTATAGCAGAATGGTAAGGAAGAGGAACACAATGCTGCCTTTCTATTAGCTCGGATCCATAGTAAAATCTAGTATATGCAGTTTTTAAAATAATAATAATAATTATTATTATAATAATAATCTCAAAACACCAACCTTCTCTGAAAGAAACAAATTGAAGGTTCCATCCCATTTGTCTGCCCCTATTTTTGGTACATTACCCTGTCCCTAAAATACTCACTTCTAGCAATGTCCTGACTTACCCCTCATTCAACTTCATTGAGTTCAAAGGCTGTAAATCAAGGCAAAGTTCAACCACAGGGACTGACTATTCCTGGTTTCACTGAAGTCAGTGACAAAATTTCCATTGACTTTATTGATTTGGAAAGCAAAGAGACTGTTTCCTCTTTCCACTTATTTGGTCAACTATTTTTATTTATCATTTATGTTCTAGTAACTCTCCAAATGTGCTTGGTTCATTTCAGCCACAGAGAGGTCAAAGCCCTGCCCACAAGCATTACACAGTCTGACATGTGCTCTTTCTACTGGAGTAGACATAGAGCTAAGTTCAGACTGAACACTGCTGAATTAGGCCAGAAGTCAAAGGAGTAGCATAGTGCTTTTCCATCCAAATGATTTGCCCACAACATTAGACCCCAATCCAGTGGAATTTTTAAATATGATTGAAATGGGACAACTCACATGCTGGAAGATATGCTTAAGACCCTGACTCAACAACACAATTAAGCATGTGCTCAACTTTAAGCATATGCTTAAGTCTAACCCTCTTCAGCAAAACATTGAAACACATGCTGAACTTTCAGCCTGTTTTTAAATTACACTGCTCTTGGTGGGAATATTCTTCTCTGTTTTTTTGGATCAGGGTCTTAAGTCACAATTTATCAAAGTGTTCCTGCCTGGTTTTACTCCCAGACCTGCAAATGCACATAATGGCCATGCACATAACTACTCACAGGCATAAGTATTTTCAGGATCGGGGCCTGACTTTATAAATAATTTTTAAATAAACAAATTGTTCCTGCTCAAGAAGAGAAGGGCTGGTGTAGAAATCTTTAATAAGCTGCTAGAGCATTAAATTAAACTCCATTCATTTGTCCTGTAATTTCCAGAGCATTCAATTCTTTCTCAGAGACCTTCTTGACCAATAAGCATTGTGCAATCTAAACTAATGAGCTCTGTTCTCAGTTTATAATTGTCTGTACAAATATTTATAAATTATCATTTTCCCTTCTGTTTTCCCTGCCGTCTAAGCACAAACACATTAAAATGTTCCATTGGGCTATCCCTTTTGGGAAAGCTGTGCAGAGTGTAACAGACAATTATAACCTTTGTATAGGTTTGTTTTTAAGCTACCTTGTAGAATTGAGTAGAGGCAGCAAGAGAGAGGTGATGCTATTCTAACTACCGCTACTGGCACACAGCAATACAGGGTAGCCACAGCATTGTGACTTCTTCCCTCCTATTTTATTTCTTCTCTCCTATGACATGCCCTTTTGCTGGTGGCAGAGGATGGCTGGTACAGGGGCTTCCTTCATTCAGTGCCAGAAAAATTGCCTGGTGGCCATTAGTAGATAGAAGCCAACCTTAATGCACTGCTTGAGTGGAGCAAAGGGCTGGATCACCGTTGAGAATCTGATTCTGTGCAAAAGAAGAAAATTAATTTGGAATCTATCCCCAAGAATCTGTTTGAAATCCTTAGGCCAGACTTGCGCAGGGTGGTGTGGTGAAGACAGGCAGGAATCAGTTACACTGGGGATTGGGAGGCTGAAAAAACATTGCTTTGTAGGTCCACCTGAAGTTAAGCGCAAAGACATCTCCAAGCCAGTCCAGCAGCCACTCCCTTTCCGCACACACCCATCAAGTCAGACCTTTGAGGTGAAGAGTGCTTGCTTACCCTATGTGCCTGGCGGCATTTGGCCAAACGCTGCTCTCTCTCGCAGTGAGGCCATATCTACACTAGACCAGGCAGCTTGGCTTCAGGTACACAACTCCATCTATGCAGAATATGTAGCTAGAGTCAGTTTACCTTAAGCCCAGCTTGGTGGCATCCCCACAGCAGGAGGCTGATGGGAGCAAATGTTCCCGTCAGCTTCCCTTACTCCTCGCAAAAGCTGGAGTACTGGACACTAGTGGGGGTGCCCTCTGAGTTCGATGTAGTGAGTGTAGACAAGGCCTGGCGGTAGAATGTGGCCAAACATGCCTGCCTGGGATGCTATGCCTGGAGGAGCACTCACTGTTCCAGTGCCCCTTGCAACACCTCCCACACTGGGCTGTACCTGAGAGGCACAATGTGACTTCCTATGCTGGGTGGCTGCCAAAGCGGCACAAGAAAATTAAGCTTCCCTTAACATGTAATGAAATGGGTTTTCAAATAGATTTGGAAAACAGTTCAAGGTTCTCTGGGCCTGATGAAAATGGAGTATTTATTGTCTAATTTGACTGATATGTATCTTTAATTTTCCTTGTCATTTTCAGGCATTTACAATTCAGGGGCAGTATGCCATCCCTCATCCAGACGTGAGTTCAGCGCATGTAAATTACTCCCATCTCTCTTTCTCTCTCTCTCTCTCTCTCTCTCTCTCTGTCTCTATTTGTTCTGGGCAGCATTTACTTTCTACAGTTAACATTAAGACATGCCTGTAGATGCCTGTACTTAACAGTGTACCCCTAAGTGTACCATATAGACAAATGTTAGCTTTACTGGATAACTTTGGTAGTAATTGCTAGAAAGTACAATGGCCCAGTTACAAATGACATTTTTTGGTCTTTTATGCATGTTATGTATTTGAGTTTTTAATATGTAATTCTACAGAAAAGTAGTTAATATTAACAATAGCCATTACATGTAATAACAATAGAGACGTCATTTTAACCAGTTTTTCTATACAGTAGAATAGAATGAATGATTAAACCTTTTTTTTAATTTTAATTAATCCAGTTTTAAAACATGTAAGATGGTTTTCTCTACTCTGAAATAATTCCATTTGATTGGTTAGTTCTAATTTCCCATCCTGCCCTGCAGTTGACCAAGCTTCACCAGTTGGCTATGCAGCATCCCCCCTTTACTCCCCTTGGGCAGACCACCCCTGGTTTCCCTGGTACGTACCCATGACCCCCTGGGATGTCCTTCTTCTTAACAGCTTTGTTTCCCATGGTCATTACATCATTTTAATACTAAATGTGGGCAATGACCAATGATCCTTTTGTTTTCATGCCTTAATATTCATTTTTTTCCCCTGTGGCTCTGTTAGTTTGTTTTTGTCATAACTAAATTCTTGTGCTTTGTTTGTTCCATTTATTTTAATATAATCCGCTTAATTTGTGCCATCAGCTAAAGAACCTGAGTTTCTTTTAGTTATTCCTATGCAAAGTTATTATGCGCCACATAGTATGTACCAGTTTGTATTACCTAAAGTACTTGATCAAATGAATTTTGTGGGACTTCTGTTTTTGTATTGTGTATTGAAAAAAAATACAAAGAGAAAATCTAACAAAAGAAAATGTATTTACAGAATCATTACAGATTAATTAAAAAATTTCTATCATACAACTAAGGGCTTAAACTGGCATCCCTTATACACTAAAAATTCCTTTTGTCCTCCAGTATTCTTGTTCTCAGTGGAATAAAAATACCACTGTTCTTAATTGTGCGAAACTCTCAGTGAAAGTAATGGTATTTTGCTCAATTAAGGTCTTCTAAATTTAGACCATCTTTATGAAGGCCTGTTAGGTGTATTTGTTTGTTTCGAAAAGAGGATTGAAATTAGATAAACTTTCAATTAAATCAGTTTCATGTACAGTTTATTTTGTTTCAGTAAATATTGCTTGGAATTCGAGATTTTCCCAAGATATGAATAAATATACACTGGTACATATTTTGTATAGCAAGTAATAACATTTTTATCAAATACATCCAATTTTGTGAAAAACTTAATCACTCACTTTATTTTAATTGTTTATATATTTTTTGGACTGCAGTGTTCAGTAAATACACATGGTGTAAATAAACATACACTATGTAAACCAATTAATGCAAACATGAGCATTTAAATAAGGTATTCTGAGTATAACTATTCCTTTTCCATCTTTGCTAGTTATGAAAAAAATACAGAAATGCAGAAAAATGGAAAAGGAAGAAAGAAAAATGACACAAAACAGCATTTGCTTCTACATGGTGTATCTGATAAAATAGCAGCAAATAATTATAAAATACCTTTCCTGGCTTTATATTTTCCTTGTTTTTCTTCTTGTCATTAACATGCTGCTCCTTAATCTTTTCCTTGTTATATTTGTGATTTGTATGTTTCCGTAACTATACTGAGTGTTAGAGCACTAATTGCATTTCTTCTAAGCATTTTCCTTTTGTCCACCCAATTTAAAAACAAATGTATGCAACTGCCAGTATTTTGTACATTTCCCCCCAAAAAAGTTCTTTACAACATTTCTTCAACATCACTAATCCCATGGATATTTTAAGTTCTCTTAGTTTATTTTCCCCATCTTTATTTTATCAGTTTTCTTTTCATATTTTACTTTTTGTTTACCTTAGATTTCCACTTTTTATTTTGTGTAATCCAGTGCTTCTGATAGACCGGTCAAAATTTAGACAACTCTTCATTTTTGACGATTAATGTATATAGAATAAATTTCATCATTATTTGTAGGTGGAACCATCCACTTTCTAGAAACTTTTTATAGCAATATGAACTCTGCTGTGACATTTGTTATTTTGGTGGGTTAAAGGTTAATTAAAATGAGAAAAATTTAAAGTCAGTCCAACCCTCTCAATTTTTGCATCTCTTGCTTTCTTTTTTCTTTTGCTAGCAGTTCCGTATTTTTCATTGCTACTCTCTTTTATCTATTTTTTCACATTTTCCTTCTTTTAAGCATCATTTGTTGTGTCTTCCCTTTATTTCAAAAACAACTAGCATAATGTGTTCCCCTCTGTCCCCTGAATACAGGATTGGATGCCACTACTCCAACCAGTTCACATGAGCTTACTATTCCAAATGATGTAAGTGAATGAAGAGTCTGTCTTTCTTTCTCTTTTTCACCAGTGCAGCTGTTGGTGGAATACCTCATTTTGTGTCAGTCAGCACAGTGTAAAGGGCATAGCTTTATTTTGGTAATAACCTATTATATCTGTGTTAAAAAAATTACTGTTTAAAATAGTGTCAGTACTAGAATGAGTTTTGGCTTTGTAAGGAATTTATACATCTGAGGAGAGTTAGTAGAATAGTGGTATTAAAATAAGTAAAGTGAGATTCCATGGCTCAGTTGAATTACAGGGACTGAGACACAAAGCATTTCACCAGTGGTCACCTGGTCCAGTAATGCCAGATTGTTGTTTTTGGTGGTATTGGTAACTAAGGAATAGGAGTTTTCATCACAGGTGGCACACACATTGACAGTCCCAGCAAAAATCCTAAGAACTGAATGGACTTGGAAAACAACTTCCATATTCTAATGGAAGCTCCTCCAGTATATGATTGGAACAAATGCTAATTTAGGGAAACTACATTGTAGCTCTGTGTATCATATTGTTCTGTGCTAGTCATGACGTTAGTCACCAAGGTTGTCAATTCATGAGTACAACATGTACTTAAGATATATAAAAGTACAATGTAAACAACATTGCTATTAGAAAGAGAGGTTAAAAACTGGAGCAACACTCCAACTCTCTGAATTCCAAACTGGATGTAACTAGACTAACCAGCCCTAACCTGCAACAGTCCTTCCCCTACACTACAAGGTGCTGGCACTTTAGACATCCACTTAAACATTTCCAATTTCTTGCCATAGGGAAAAAAAATGGTATTCTTCTTTCCATCAGCTATAGATCTTATCAACTTTCATTTTAAATGAATGACACAGAAAATTGAAGTTATCCCCTCCAGGTTTTTTTAACAAAAGCTTTCAGGCATGAATGGGATCATAAATAACTATAATATTACTTACGAGATACTTATGACATCATACAAGCCCTGTTAATCTCCGTGGCAGTGCTTGATAGAAAAAAGAGACAAAAGCTAATCAGAGTGAAAAGGAAAAAGAAGTCTCCTATCCCAAGTGCCTGAGATTTGGTAAGCTTTGCATTAGTAGGAGTACACCCTGCTTAATATGTTTCATCATCTAACTTACTGTTTGTTCTGAATTTTAAGAGAGCACCATATTTGTCCTTATAGAAACTCACTGCCAAATTCTACTCTTGTTCGCAGCGTGGTAAATCCAGAGTAACTCCATTTACTTGAGTAGAGTCTATCTGGAGAGCTGCTGATGAATGCTAGAGCATGCTTTGACCCCATATCCCTTTTGCCCCATAGAGAATCTCTTCCTAGCTTAATCAGTTGAAACACACTGATTCAGCCCTAATCTTTTACATGCAAACATGCATCCCTGCATTATTTGAAAAATCCTCCTGCTGTCACAAATTTTTCAAGCTATAGTAAAACAAGCCTGCTTATGTAAGGTATAAATCAAGCCCATGGTAGCTTAAATCAAGCCTAGTCTTACCAATACATTTTCAAAAGATATTCTGAGACTGAAATGAATTAGGCATAGAAATAGCCTACAGGAACTCTGCAGGTGAGGAAAATGGAAAAATATTTTGGGTTGGTTCCATGTATTAAGTGTGTATGTAGCATTGGAAGTGGTACAGTTTTGAGGGGATTCTCATGATAAAATGCAGGCAGCTCAGGAATTTTGGCTGTCTTTGTTTCTGACCGCCAAAGCAGCAGACTGCTATACAGAGGGGTGCATGCTGTGGGTGGGCAGAGCCCTGGGGCAGGAGGGTCCGACTTAAGTTGGACTGACATAACCCGGGGACTGCCTGTAATTCTTATTCTTTTATTCTTTTTATGTTAAGGGGTCTCTTTCTCTACTGTGTTGCACAGAGATAAATGACTCCTCAAGATGCAAAGTGAATGTATCATGCTGATGGAAATTAGATGAGAATAGAGACAATTGTACTTACACATGTTCTTGAGTTACCAAAGAACAACAGGACATTATTTAAATAAACATAAAGGCAGAAGGCCAAGTCGGAGTTGTTACTCAGTCCTTGATCAGACATATTCACTCTGATTCAAGTGCAGTAGAAATTTGCCTAAGCAATCACAAATACAAACTAGATAAAGACTTTAGAGTTTGGCCAAAGGAAAAAGTGTAAGTTGATACCTGTTTACAGGTTTCATTTGTTTGTGTTGTAAATTATACTTATTCTTTCTGCCGTAATTATGTTGTAGCAGAGATACATTATTTTTATCTGTTATTAGTGGTTACTACAGCTCAGATCTCGCAGCTTTTCACATGTCTCCCAGAGATAACTGCAGCTAACTAACAATAAAGAAACTGATTGATCCATTTTAGATGATCTGGAGCTTTTCTAAGGTCAGCGCAATTATTCCCAAGTATAGAGAATTACATTACCTGTAAGTCACAAAGACATGGATCACTCTGACCTTGTTATTGTTTCACAATTAGGGGACCTAGCCTTCTTCCAGACACAGATGAAAGAAAACATTTATGGAACTGATAGCTATTTTAGGGTACGTCTATACAGCAATGTTATTTCGGAATAATAAGTAGTTATTGTGACATAATGTCAAAGAGCACTCTTTCTCAGACTTCCTGCTATGTAGACAATGCCAAAAGCCAAAATAAGCTAGTTCAACTTAAGCTACGCAATTGACATAGTTCAAGTAGCATAGCTTATTTTGGCTTTTAGCCCTGCTGTGTAGATGTACCCTGATTGTCCACAAACATTGGAGAGTCCAAAAGAACTCCTGGGCTACAATGTGATTTGATTATCTGAGGTCACCAGTAATGGAGAATGATGGGTTGTTCTTCAAAATATTTCCTTCATCCCACCAGTATTACCTCTGTTGGGTTGCATTTAGTGTCAGCCAGCTGTTTCCTTTCACTTTCTGGGATCCTCTTCAGCTTTCTATACATTATATAGGACTTATATTATAAGGACAAAAATGTGTCATGTACATCTTGGAATAGAATGGTGGAATAGTGTTAGTTAGTGGGGGGAATGAAGAAGGTGGTGAAAGTGGGGTATAATGGAGCTGGCACTGCAAAAAAAAAAAGTCACTGAGATAAAAATCACCTTTATCTTAAAAAAACAGAAAAATGTTTTTAAAAATGCTGCAGATCTGATAATGATTTTGATAAATATAAATAGGCATGTAAATCCACCTGTATTGGCAATAACAACCCAATGGGCCAGACTTCTGTATTCTAGGGGAATAATGGCTCCTTCCTTTTAAATAACTAATTGGGAAGCTTGTCACATAAGCAGTATGAAGGTGTCTTTCCATAAAAAATCAACACCATCTCCACAAAAGACACTGGAATAGTGAGTGTGGCCTTCCAATTCCATAGCTGTTGTTCTTGATTGAAAAATACTTAAGAGTTAGGAAGAAATATTAGATCCACTGGGTCTTACTCAGGCAAAACTTCAACTGATTTCCTGCAGAATTCAGCATATGTAAACGTGGTGCCAAAACACAACAAATATATCCCCTAGGGAAACAATAGGTCCAATCTAACAACCAGGCATTGTCTGAATGTCCACAATTAGCCTCTGAATGATCCTGATCCAGGAAAACCCTATTCAGCAAAGGCACTGATGCACAATTTTAATCTTAATTTAAAAGTTAAATGTGTTTAAGTGCTGTCCTGAATTAGAATTTGTGACGTTAGTTGTTATATTAAAGGCCTTAAAAGGTGAATATGAGGCTTAAAGGAAATAATTTATTACCTCCAATGTTTTATGAGCTGTATTAAAAATATTGGTACACATCCTCAAGCAGTGTAAACTGGAATAGTTCTACTGAAGTCACTGGAATTATGCCAGTTTGCAGCAAAAGCTGAGAACCATAATTGTGGTAGAAATGTGTGCTAGGTATGGTAATACGTAAATAACCAGATATTTTTACTTGGGTATCATTTTTCAAAAATCACTACTGCTTAATAAGTATTTTGCTACCTTGTCTTTTGGTATATTCTTGCATGACATCGTGGCCTGATTCACTCCCCCTTGAACCAAAGGTGGAATTGTTCTTTACTCCACACTTAGGCTATGTCTAAACTATGAGCCTCTTCCACAAGAGGAAATGCAAATGGAGTGCTCATTTGCATATGTTGTGCTCTCATCTGTATTTCCTCTGATCCCTTATGCACAAAAAAGCGCTGTATAAACAGCACCTTTTTGCACAAAACCCCCCTTTTTTGTGCAAGAGCCGTTCTTCCTCCTTTTTTCTTCCTTATCCAAGGAGGAAATGCAAATGAGAGCATGACATATGCAAATGAGCACCTGTGGATAAGGGAGAAGCGGTGGATGTCATATACCTAGACTTTAGTAAGGCATTTGATACGGTCTCGCATGATGTTCTTATTGATAAACTAGGCAAATATAACTTAGATAGGGCCACGATAAGGTGGGTGCATAATTGGCTGGATAACCGTAGTCAGAGAGGAGTTGTTAACGGTTCTAAATCCTGCTGGAAAGGGATAACAAGTGGAGTTCCTCAAGGGTCTGTTTTGGGATCCGTACTGTTCAATATCTTCATCAATGACTTAGATATTGGGATAGAGAGTACGCTTATTAAGTTTGCAGATGATACCAAACTGGGTGGGGTTGCAACTTCTTTGGAGGATAAGGACATAATTCAAAATGACCTTAGCAAGTTAGAGAAATGGTCAGAGGTAAACAGGATGAAGTTTAATAAAGAGAAATGCAAAGTGCTCCACTTAGGAAGGAACAATCAGTTCCATACATACAAGATGGGAAGCGACTGTCTAGGAAGGAGCATGGCGGAAAGGGATCTAGGGGTCATAGTGGACCACAAGTTGAATATGAGTCAACAGTGTGATGCTGTTGCAAAAAAAGCAAATATGATTCTAGGTTGTATCAACAGGTGTGTTGTAAGCAAAACTCGTGAAGTCATTCTGCCGCTCTACTCTGCACTAGTTAGGCCTCAGCTGGAGTACTGTGTCCAGTTCTGG